GGCCAGGCCAGCTTGCTGGAAAAACCAACTTTTTAAGGTGCGCCGGAAGGACTTGAGGTCAGGAATTATGCGAAGCTCCGGGGGCAGCTCATTCCAAAGGGAAGGTGCTCCCACAGAGAAGGCTCTCCCCCTGGGGGTCGCCAGCCGACACTGCCTGGTCGACGGCACCTTGAGTAGTCCAACTCTGTGAGATCGTACTGGACGGTGGGAGGCTACTGGTGGCAGTAGGTGGTCTCGCAAGTACCCTGGGCCTAAGCCATGAAGCACTTTAAAGATCATAATTAACATCTTGAATCGCACCCAGAAAATAACTGGCAACCAGTGGAGGTAAAAGGGGTGTGACATGGAGCACCTAGGTACCCCCGTGACAACCTGCACAGGTGCATTCTGGACCAGTTGAAGCCTCTGGGTGCTCTTCAAGGGCAGCCCCATGTAGAGAGTGTCCAGGCAAGAAAAGATGAGGGTGTGAGTGGCTGTGCACAGGGCATCCCGATCCAGGAAGAGGTGCAATTGGTGTACCAGGCAAACCTTGTAAAAGGCCCCCCTGGTCACGGCCATCAGGTGTTCTTCTAAACTAAGCCGCGTATCCAGGAGGACTCCCAGATTGCGGGCCCTCTTGGGGGGGGGGGCTAACATTTCTCCCCCTATCATCAAAGATGGTACAAGATGCACAAATCGGGATGACGGGAACCACAGCCACTCAGTCTTGGAGGGATTGACCTTGAGTCATGTAATCCACCCTGTAAAGTGGAAAAGAATTCCAACATAACAAATTTTGAACATTGTTTCCATGAAATCACACACATACGATGTATACATGTTTATTTTTTGGTCATGACAGTTGCTGAAATTAATATCAAGCTTCACTTACCAAGCACTTGGCAAGCTTATAAGAAATCTTAAAACTCCAGGAAAGTAACACTTATTAAAGAAAGTAGGAAGTTCAGCAACTACTTTAAGACAAAAGAAAGGAATGAAATCAGAAAAAAACAAAGTATGATTAACTTCTTTTTTTTCCTGCATTATATCCAAAAGCTACCTGGCATAGTTTGATATACAAAAGATCAAGATAACAAAATTGGAGGGAAAACATGTGGAAATGCCAAATGTAATATAGCTGTGTAATACTTGGCATTGACCTTTTAATTGATCTTGGCTAGAAGAACTTCTATGTGTTTCTAGGTTGGCCTAACTTGTGTGACACATCCAAAGATCTCAAAACATTCCAGAATCACTTGAAATAAATATTTTATTCTTGTGATTGTATAGAAAGACAAAAAATAAACTAAATGTGAGGAAATCAGACTATGGAAATGGAATGCATATAAACAAGACAGATACCTATGGCTAGGGAAAATATGGTATGGGATTGACAAAAAATATGTGATATAAGTAGAGTTGACTTTAAAGTGGGTGCAGGCTCACTGGCTTCTTATAGAGGATGTGTCACTAATGTAGGTTTGGGGCTTACAGGATTTCCTAAATGTCAGTGGGTAAAAAGCAATTCAGAACTGTGATTAAGTCCCCATAGAAGGCATATACAGATTCATATTATTAAGAAAGTTACATGCACTGGATTGATTGTTGGTGTGCTTCTAGGTGCAACTCATGATGTTTCCAGGTGCAATTTAAGGATCCTGGATGTTGGTTTAAGTGAAATATTCATTTGATCTAACAAAGCTTCTCTGAAGTTAACATCATGCTGCAATAAAATTCTTGTTTTTCTCTAGGCTTCTAATTTAGCAAAGGCTTCATTTGTCAGATGACCCAAGCTCAGGACAGATTCATATTATTAAGAA